GGCCAAAAGGCCAATCTCTGAAACCTCCTGAATCGCAATCACCGACTCGCACTGCGGCTACACTGTTGTGGCCCTTACTGCTGGATGCTCACAGCCTCGTTTAATTATGCTTTAGCTGCTTCTTTACATGCTACTAAACCCTGCTCATCTTCTCAAGCTTCCCGCACCTCCGGTGCATGCAGAACGGGGAATCTGACTGACAGGTCTGACGCATGGCTAGCCTGACGAGACCCCACGCCGACACAATCTCCCAACACAACGCGGGCTGACAGGGGTTAGCTGGCACCTTCTTCCCTGCCCCGGTCACTGTTTGTAACAGCAAACCACACTTGACTTGCTCACATTAATCAAATCTCTCTCTGATGCACACCAGACAGAAGTGTAAGAGATGTACAAACTAAGACCAAGGAAGACTTCAAGTCTAATTTGATCACTAGAAGCAAGAAAGAAGGCACCAACTGTTAAAATGAAATAGCTCTAAGTAGAGATCTGGACCGGTAAGAAAAGGTGAACTGCTGTGAACACACTTGTTATATCAGAAGGTCTATGCTTCTGCAATAAACTAATTGGATCAAGTCAGGGGATGTGCTCCTATGCTTCACGCTGCGGCACACAGCGGAGAAAGCTGATCACCCTGTCTTTAAATTAACATATTATAAAGGGAGAGGTCACACTAAGTTAATGACAGGTTAGAATAAAAAAATTACAACATCAGACTACTGGCAGCTTGCAGCATCCTTCACGCAGGGTACTGACGAATGCTTAGTTTAAAGGTATTGGACTTCTGTTACCGTGCCAGATTGTGAGAGGTAATCAATACTTGCATGCCAGGTCATCCCCGGCTCCCTGGGGTGTCAGCGGGGGACTCCAGGGATATGCTGTGGCACAGACCGCTGAGGGGCTGTGTGGCAGGGATAAGATTCAACCACACAGGAAGAGCAAAACGTCAGTATATAAACAGAATTTTATTCCTTGCATCATCAAAACACAGCTTGTTGCTGTATTTTAATATGGGACACTAGAACAGAAAATATAAAACCAGACACTGCAGCTAAACTATCCTGGAGTGTAAAGGTTTCCATGAGAGAGATATTCTGTAACTTCAAGATGTAAATGGGATAATAAAAATGCCTGCAGTGACACAAGGGCATGACTGATAGAGAAACTGGCTCACCATTCAACCCACATGAGGAGAAGGGATTAAAAAGGATTCAGAACACATCTATCAAAAATGCAAAGTACCTTCTTCCTGAAGAGTTTGTCTTCTTTTCCAAGTTTTAGCTGTTGGAAGAAAGAAAAGTAAAAACCCCAAAACACGACATCTGCTGTGCTGTCTGATGAAGGTTTGGTGATCCACAGTGCCTTCCTCACACACTGGGGGGCTTTCAGGGAGCAATTCAAACCACCCATAAACACTGCAGTGAGTCCAAAGGGATGGGAAAAGGAAAGCATGGCCAGAAGGCAGATATGCATAAATTGGTATTGTGAATTTTGCTCTCTCACTCCACACCAAAGCAATCCCAATCCCTAAATTTACCGTACTGTTCCCAATGTCAAGCCTTACAGGGCGGACTAACTGCCACTCCTTGTGAACTATACATGCAATACAAAACCAGCCACCAATTCTGATTTTAAAGCCGTCAGACAATTACTCATGACACACATTAAATCCAGGTCCTCATTTCTACCTCTGCAAACCAGCGCTTCTGTATATCCCAAGTGCCGTATTTTGCCATCCACATGACAATTCAGAGTGTCCCTGCCTGGCCCAAGAGCTCTGACTGTCAAATTCAGAGAAAAGCTGTCTACATCGCTGTTGTGAGCAGCTCCTCCTCTCTGCAGGCTACAGAAGGTGTCAACTCTAAAGGTCCCCTGATGGGTTACGAGCGTTGTACATCCCGATTTGGCCACAAAACAAGCTGCCATGCGCCACCAAGTGGATACAGATTAAAAACTTTCCATTAAAAACTGATTTTCACCTTGTTCCTACTCCAAGCATCTTGTAAAGACTCTTCAGTTAAAGTGGGTTTTCCAGTATTTTGAATAAAACAACAGCCATAGCCCAGTGTTTTTGGCCTCTGAACGTCAACCCAAGCGTCACTGTTCAAACCACTGTCCTGTTAGACTAGCAGTTTTCAGAAAGGAAGGTAAAACATCGCAGTTTCTTTTGTAACAATCTGGGATTTCAAGATAAGCTATAAGCCAGAAGGCAAGAGACATCAGCCCTAACCAGCCCACGCGCATCTGTGCAAGCACATGAAAAGAGTGTTTCATCATACCCGCTTTCTCATAGTGGGTTCCTGGGGTTTCTCAAATTTCCTTTTCCTCCACAGATGCACTTCGTCCGACTTTCTCCTCAGAATTGGGTCAACTTGAGTCTTTTTGGAATGTTCCTCTGATTTCCGCCTGGGAGTTTCTTCACAATCTCCTTTTCGTTTTGCAGCATCTGTTACTTCCTTATTGTCTCTGTTCATTTTCTGTTCCTTCAGCAATGAGCCTGGGAGATTTGATGCGTATTTGAATCCTGGTCCGCGCTTTTGCTTGTACGCCAAAGAGACACAAAACACAAACAAACTTTATATCTTATGCCTTTCCCAGCTCTTTATCTAAGCTGCCTCCAACATCGGTGGGTTGATCACTTTGTAACAGACAGAATGATTAGCAAGGAGTTAGAGTAGTTTCAACCTTCGTAAAGTTATTTTTGTAACTACACACTTGCAAGCGTCTGTCTCAGTTTGCAAAGAAACATTGTTTCACTAATTCCAACAGACACTTCAGGTTTCCTGTAACTGCTTCTGGATTTTTTTTTAAAAAGTACTTTCATCTAAGAAATTAACATGCAGCAGCGCACAAAACTAACCTATATATTCCCCAGGTTCTGGGTGAAGCGTTGGTACAGGGAACAAGAATACGAAAATTATTAAAGAATAGAAAACCGTCAGCTTATTTCCTTCAACTGAATTAAGCACAAAATCAAAAGCTGGTATTGGGCAAAATTGTATCTACAAGCGAGAGGGAATGCTTGAGATTTTGTATCTCATTCCAGCACCGCTTATTCCGATTAAACTCACTTTTCCAGTTTTCCCTGCATGGTTGCACTTTGGACACTCCCAGCAGTTCGGCAGCTCATCGTTAACCACACCATCCGATTCCTTCACCTGGTGAAAGAGAGGCACAACTCCATTCACAATTGTGCTGCAAAAAGCTGCAAAAGTCTACAAGTAGATCATTCAGAAGGATTTTGTACAGCTCATAATTTTCTTTGATCGACAGCCACAGAAAAGAAACCCAGATCACCACAGGTGCTGCACCATCTTGCCGGTGCTGAGCAAGCCCTCGGTCCTGCACAATTACCCTTCTGATGTCAACAGGGGAGGAAAGCATGCTGGTCAAATTCGTATTTGACAAAGGGTTCAAGTCTGAGCTTTTTATGAAGGTCAATGACAATCCCAATTAACACAGGGCACACTCTGCTCTTGCAAAGAAAAAAAAAAACACAACAAAACAAAGCAAAAAAACCCCACCAAACCAAAAAAACCACACAACAAAACCAACACCAAACCAAAACACAACCAAACGCAAAAGACCACAACAAAAACCACCCCAACAACCCAAACGAAAACTCCCCAAACCCAGGACTGTAATCACACCATCTCCAAATGTCCTCCCACACCATTTATTTGCAAAGCTTGGTCCCCTCCTGTTCCCCCCCCTGCCACCCCAGAGCGAGGCACGGTCTGATCTTTTAATAGGAAGGGATTTTTCCCATACACACATTCTCACATACATTAATACTGTTCGGCATTTTTAGAAGCAAAGCACCCTGCACTGTAATCAAGTGTTCCTTAAAATATTTTTCTTTATGGATCAGAACGAGCAGTCCCATGCCTCCAGCTCTCAAGCCCATGTGCCAGTAAAAACGATGGTTGCCAAGTCAGCTGGAGAACAGGCAGGCACTTTTATTCAGAAGACTGGACACATGAAGGCATTTCTCAGGTTTCTCACACCCACAGTTACCCAGCTAGTGTAAGAAAGAAATGCTTACTACTTCACTACCTCCGAAAGACTATGACACTTTGCTTTTTGAAAAAGACGACACACGCTCAGCATTGCTACACTACAATAAAAGCACGGTCCTTCCCTATGCAGCTGAAAAGCTGCTGGTTCCTGAATTTCCATATAGGAACCCGGATTACTTTCCAAACAGGAGATAGGTGTTTCTGAAAAGACATTTCTGTGAATGAAACTGAAGATGAAAAGTAGAGCTAAGCTAAAAACACCCTCCACACAAACCACATACACTCACCGATGGCACATTCACATTTAAAGGTGTAACTATATATTCAGAAAAAAGCCTGGGAGGGTGGAGGTGGGGAAAGAAGGATTATTTTATTACTATTAGACAACAAAAACATGCTACTGTCAAGACAAATAGCTGGGCACTGGCACCAGCAGCGCAGTAGCAGGAGACTGCTGCTGAAACGGGCAGGGGCAGAGATCTGCAGATTTTTCATGTTTCTGAAACGTTTCCTCCTCTCCTCCCAGCCCCATGAAAATGCACTAGCTGTGCAGGAGCAAGCCCCTGGTTTTAGGGGAACTGCTTCCTCAAGTCCCCGAGCCAGACAGCAGCCATTCTAGTTTCACCATCTAGCAAGAGTGATGACATGTCAGTCTCTCTCACTAAGTCTTCTGGAGTTAATAAATGAGTAAATGAAGTGGGCAGAATTTAAATACTGGTTTTATCACAACTGTGCGCCTTTGAACCTTCTTTCCCATGGTAGGTGTAAGATACTCCAGGAGCTGTTGTATACATCTCTGCCTCAGGGGAACAATTCCTGGCCCAAGCCCAAGCCGGGAACAAGTTATTTCCCGCACTGAATATAGAACAAATGCTACTGAGGGGAAAGCATTACAGCTCTGTCCCTTCTGTGAAGTTTAAGGAACTGAACAGATGTGAAGAACTGTAAGCAAACTAATTAGACACACACAAACCTGCCATTGAATCTGTCCCAAGCCTTTCAGGCTGGGTGGGAGCCAGTTCCGAGTGTTTGCTACAAACAGCAGGTGGGTGTCTGAGCCACAGCGTGAGGCATCTTCAGAAACGTACCTGCAGCACGAGGTCAGCAATTCAGAAAGTCTAAATATGAGACTATGCTACTGTGAAATCTTCTTGTTAGGGAATACAGAGACCCCAGGATGCTGATCTGACACCGCTGAGTGAGAGCTGTGAATTCTCGCAGTGCCAAGACTGAAACAACACAGGCAGCGAGACACACCTGGGCTGAAGTCATGGGCAGCAGTGCTGGAAAAGGTCTTTGTATTTCTGCTGTTTTGACAAGGCACCTAAATATTCACCTTTTCCCATCATTATCACTCTATCCACCTACAATGAAAAAGAATAGGCTCCTACTGGGGAAAATGAACCCCTTCTCCTTAAGGAAACAGCATCAGATACTGCACTCACTCAACACACATGCTAACCAGCATTACTAGCAATTTGAGATGTAGCAAGAAAAACTCATCAGTATCAGCTCAACACAAAATCCTCCAAAAATCTCACTAGCTCCCTCTGGAAACAATGCTGCACTTGCCAAACGCTTGCCGATATCGTTTTTGTAAGAAACTCTTCAGCAAAATGAGCATTTGTGTTCATATTGTATTTCTGAGGAAAGAAGCATGTCAGAAACCTCCCGTGACGCTTCAGTATATGGAACATCCTGGCTGGCCTTAGCACAGTTCCAACACAAGCACCTAACGCACTCTGGTACCCAGGGCTCCCCCAGCAAAAGGCACCCAAAGAAGCCCCTCAAGGCAGCGAGTGTGTCAGAACAGATGCACCTGAGCTACCCTTAACCCGCTCAAAGAGGTCATCCTCTGACACTCTTTTTTCATGGAGAAAACTCACCACAAACACGTACAGCCAAATCAGGAAGCTGGAAGAGGATGGACTTCAAACCAGGAACAACCTGCCCTGAAGTACAAATTAGCCACTGCATGTGCTAAACTACTCCACAAGGTTTGGAGATGCATTTTGGAAGGAATTCATTCCACATGGGAGTAAATTAGGAAAGGACGCTCCTGCCTTCACCCATCCAGTTTATTCCAGTTTCCCCCAAAAGTACATTTGCCAGACACTTAATTGGAGATGACCAACAGTTCACATGTACTACTGCCTCTCTACCGAGTAGGACAGGAAGGGAATTTCTCTTGGTGGACAGCCGAAGCAGTTGCCCTTGGGCTATGTCTGCATTCAAAGGCGCTTCCCACAAGGACTATTTTTGGGCTCCATTCTCTGGGCTTAAGCCCATGTCAAGGGCTCGAGCAACATGTAAACATGGCAACATATTTTTGTCTTGCAGAAAATCATGGTAACTGGGAATAAAGGGCAAGGAGGAATCCAAGAAGGAGGCTCCATTTTCCTTTTGCTGTTCCCCTACATATAGTCTCATCCTGTCTTCCAAGATGATCCTGAAATTCTACCAGTGCCCTTTTGTCTCAGTAAATAAACAGTACCAGTTACCCCACCATTTCAGCCGAACAGAAGCATCGAGAAATTAAAATACAAGACACACAAGGCACACTGTAAGTCTCCCACTGCTTAATTTTAAGAAACACCCAAAGCAACATTGTTCGTAGTTACCAAAACAGCACTCAGAACACCACACATACATAAAAGAACAAACAGCACTTGCTTGATTTTACAGATCTGACCCACATCCTGTGCAACTAGTCCCAAACGTGGTATGGGGAGAGGAAACCTTACGTGAACTGCCGCTAGACAACAATCATGTCCTCTGGACTCAGCCATGAAGAGTCATTGACGCTGCAAATCAAGAGATGGAGGAGCGCAGGGCACTTTCAGGAAGGACCGGAATAGCGAAGCAGCAGCTCCAAGCCAAAATTGAGGTACCTCTGAAAATGAGCAGCTCCTTCCTTTGCTTCATCAGCCCCTGAAGCCTTGTTTTAAGCACAGCCAAGCAAGCAAAGCTCCCTTTCAGAGCCCATCTGTGGCAGGAGCTGTGAGCACCAATTTCATGAATCGGGGAGACAGCCACACTTCTGGTTTGCCAGCTACCTACTTTCTGCTCTAATAAATGACACGCATGTAGCTTGGTGCAATACTCTGTACAGCGCAAGAAAAATAAAAGGCCAGAAGAGCATCACCCCAGGCCTTCATAAGGAACATACCTTTCCTCCCAGAGATCTCAGAAAGGCCAAAAGCTGCTTTCTGGGACACAGTGTGTCAGAATGCATTTGCTTTGGCAAATCACTTTAACCATAAACAAATCAGCAACAGGAAACAACTGATCAGCTGAAACAAACCAGCTCTGGAGAAAGGAGGCTTCTAAATGCTGATAACACAAAGATATGCCCAAAATGACACTTCTGTTACCAGCAAAGAATATAGCTGCTCACAGGACTCAAGTCAGCCAAGGGGGAGCACTCCTGCAGCCCAAAACTTGCTCAGTTTGTTCACTAGAGCTGCAGTCTTCCTACCGCAACATTTGCTTGTAACATCTTTAAAGCCAGCTGCTGCTGCAAGGTACATCTACGCCTGGACAAACACGAAGCACAAACTACTCGTTTGTACTTTGTGGGACACAGGAAGGAGCTACTGATATGGGGACTATGACTAACTCATCCAAAAGCACAGGCAAATTCCTCTGTCCTCTTGAGCTTCCCATCCCAACTGAAACTCCTCACTTCCTTCAACAAGAGGCAAAAAAAAAAAGAAAGAAAAGCAAAACAAAAAAAACCCCACAAGACATTTGCAGGCACAGACATTTCAGAGGCTGTCCAAAGCAAGAGTCTCTGCTTACAGGGGATGCTGTTACATCAAAGGATTCCTGCCTGCCAGCCAGGGCTGCCCGTGCCACGGCTGTCACCCTGCTTCTCACACCAACTCTTTGCTCACTTAAGTTTCCAAAGACGAAAACGTGAAAGCTTTCCAATTTCTGTGCACTACTTTTACATTAAAGTGATAACTAATCCAGTTTTTGTTTCCAACGTATCACATCCTCGTACTCACCTTAAGGCATCCTGGGTGTATGATTTCATTACAAATGGAGCATTCCATTAGCATGAGATTAAACTTGCTCTCCTCCTCTTCCACAGTGTCCTCTTTCCCAGCTTCTCCGCACACCAGACACACAGCAGTATGAGGCAACACCGGCTGTTTACACATATCAGAAAGAAGTCTTGATCGGGACACAGAAGACATATGGGAACAGAACTCAACGTGCATTTACAGTACGCTCATTTCAAAGAGGAGATAAATAGGGATTAATTGTGCAAACTGCTGAAGGCTCCAGTCCAGCAGAGCAAGAGGGCAAGAAAAACTGGTAACAAACGGGGCTGGGGAGCCAGACCAAGCATCACAGGACACGTTTCATGGAATGCAAGTGCCCTCCCTGCAACAACATAGATTCATGGGGCATCCCAGGGATGGATGAAAATGGTTTGGTTTTTTGCGAGTCCCTTGAACCTTTGAGCTGACACAAACATTGGCATGCAAGTCACTTCACTAGTGTACAATGGGAGGGAAAAGAAGTAACCTAGAACATCACTATTCACATCCATTAAGCTTCACAATCTGACTAGCAATTTGGCAGCTCCCCTATTTTACAAGCAGGGTAGACAGATGTTATGGGATCCAATTCAGGTCTCACAGCAAGCCCACAACAGAACCAAGAACAGACCTTTTCCTGACTGACAGTTTGTTATCTAGGGCCCTGCTCCCAACCTGAGCATTGCAAAACGCAGTGCACAGACACTTAAAAAGAGAATTCTTCTCCCACAAGCGTCACAAGTGAGAAGCACACTGATTATTTTTTTTCCTGTCTTTTGCTGAGGCAGAAAGGGAACTGCAGCATCTCACCTATCTGTCACCCATGTCAAAGCACTGAATGCCAGTCTAATTAAAAAGCCACCTTTGTGCTAATGAGGAACAAACTTCTGGTTTGCGGCAATAAGGTATAAGCCTCCTTACAAGAAAGAGAAGGAAGATCCTAATAAGAAGCTGGCTGTAATGTGAAATGCAATCGATTGGATTGCAAGTCCTTAACTATTAAGCAGCCAGAGGCAGAGATGTGGCTTTTCATGGCAAGGATCTCTTGTAGATGGAGTGAATAAAATCCGCAAGTGGATATTCGCCCACCAAACCAAATCTATGCAGCAACAGTACATCCTTTGGCAAGTTTCAGATAGGGAAAAACCTAGCTATAGTAAGCCATTACAGAGTGCAGAGTGCTGCCTGACATCCCCCCCCGCCCCCAACATCTGATACATTTAGCTACAGCAACACTTTCCTGCTTTCTCATGCTGGTACTTACCCATGCTATATTTTAAAAGCATTTTGCAAATACTATTTAATTCCCATCCTTCCTCCCAAGCATAAAATAGGAATCACCAGGATCCCATTCCACCAGCAGGTAAACCACAGAAAAGCCAAGCTGTCCAGAACAATAAGAGTTCTGTCCACTTCTTTTGTCCGATCTCCTACACAACAAGTATTTATATCCACACACAAGAACAAACATCCCAGGAGCAGCACAGTTTTTCTTGCTGGGAGCAAGTGTGAATAGGGAACCTCCTCTATGTCCCAACTAGCTCTGTCCCACTGACGGGCTGGAAGAGCAGCCATGCTGTCACAACTCGTCCTTCCAGCACAGAGCCCCACACTCCCTTCAGACCTATTCAATGCAGCATAAAGTGTCCCAGGCACTCCTGTTTCCCTTCTTGATTGCACTAGTGATGCAGAAGAGTTTCCTCTTCTCCAAAGAGCAGTACAGGCTCTCTTAAGGCTTCTGAATTTAATGAAAGTCTGTGTCTAGTTAATATTGTCAATGTTATTAACCAGAGGAAAGCACAATCCCAGAACTGTAAGGATCATTACTTCCACAGAGCCTTGTTGCAGCGTTTTGGGGGTTTTTTTTTTGTGGCTGGGGGCGGTTGGGCTTGTTGCAGCGTTTTGGGTTTTTTTTTTTTTTGTGGCTGGAAGCTGTTGGATAGGTATCACAATATATTACTACTGCAATTGTTAGAGAACATAACGAACAAGAGTAAAGACAACAGGATTGCTTATAGAAATGTAAAGTTGCAACAGTTCAACTTGCTAATTTTCTATGCTTTTGCAGCTCTAAGACAGTTTGTAATACTTGCCCTGCTATTTACATCAATGGGAACCTACGAAGGGCAGAGATGTCTTCTTCAGTGCATGCAAGGCTGGGACAAGTAATCAGAGTACCCTGGCTACCAAGCCCTATACTCTAACCACAGCTTCTGGAAATAAAACTGCAGATACCAAAGAGAAAAATACCTCTTCATTAGAAGAAAGGGGATGAGAAGATGACTACAGTCAGCCAGAACAGAAGCCAGTTCACCTCCAAAAGGCTCAGCCTGTGTTATCAAGAGTGAAACAGCTTAGTATGAAAGTTTCCTTCATCAGTCAGGACAAGAAAGCACACTGCAGCCCTAATTTAATCCCTCTGCTAAAAAGGCAGCACGATTTCACTATTTCTTCCCCCTGGAGAATAATAAATTCTTCATCCATGCTGTTCAATTCATGCCACACTCCAGGAAATCAAGTGTTCAAAGAAAAGACACTTGAGCTTCAAAAGCACTCTGCGGAAAGGTAGATATTCTATGTACTTTACTGAAAGATCCAGCAGAGCTGAATCCAATCCTCTGTCAAGAACAGCACACGGCTTAGAACAGGACATGGAGTGAGCTACCAGGAGCAACTACTGGAAACCTTAAGTGCTTATCAGTTTTTTATCAGTGTCAGACCAAGCCATTTAATGTCTCCACTTCAGTTTCCTCATCAGTATTAAAGAAAAAAAAGAAACCCAAGTGAAAGAACTGTAATAAGAGCTAGAGAGAAATCAGTATAGATGGGGTAATATTTCAGTTATGAATAAACAACATTCCTTTCCTTAAAAAAAAAACAACAGAAAACCGAACCCTTAACAACAGCATAAACAAGACCTTCTAAAGAATTAAGAAAAGCTAAAGCTAATTTTTTACCCTTGAATGGGGGCACTGTGGACATGAGACCCGAGTCAGTCAGTATGAAAGCAACAGACTCAAAAGGTGCTTAGACAACTTAATGGAAGATTAAGCTGTCAGTATTTGTTAAATACAAAGCTATCACTTACAACTCAAGAAAGCTTCTAAGCAATGTATCACAGGAGCCCAGGAAACTGTCTGACTGCCTGCTTGCCCCGTTCTGATGCTCATCCCCTTACAACCACTTCGTCCCTGAGGAAGACAAGACCCTGGTTTGATGGCTCTTTGGCTCATCTGGATCAGATCCCTCCTATATGCCTAGGTAATAGCAAACAAATTGAAATTCAGATCAAGTAGCCTGGGGCTGGGGTCACTAACACCAAAATCTTGGAGGATACCAGTCAAAGATTTCTCCATATCTTAAGTCGTTTAAGTAGTTAAGATGGTAAAAATGGTCGCAAAGCAGCTTTTCTCAGGAAATTCAGAGATCCAAACCAAACAGGCCTCTTTCCCCTTTGAATCAGAACTTCCCACTTTTCCCCTTCTGCCCTGAATTGCAGAATTTCAGTGTGATTTGAGTGCCAGTTTCTGGTGTACTGATAATCTCCACATTTAGCTTCTATATTACTGAGAACGAAAGCCATGCTACTAAGTTTTAGGAGCATTCTGGTTTAAGATTTGGGGGGGGGGGCAGGGAATGAAAAGTGATGGGAAGAGATCTGAACAGAGAGGGCAGGGATTACAGTGTTTTGCCTGATATGCTTTAAGAGACTACTCAGACCACAGTTCTCCGTTCTATACCTTGTCACCTGAAGACAGGTATAGGAAAGAAATCTCCAAACGAGCTGTAGCAACAGGTACACTTACTGCGATACACTGCCTCATAATGCAGGACTGTTTCATCCTGCCAGGTCCCCCAAATTTCTTCATGTCTTTGCAGAAGTGACACTCGCCACACTCTGTCCGAAGACACGCCTCGCACTTGCGGCATCGCGTCCTCCTCCGACGTGCTCCAGCGGTTGTCCGATTAGCTGCGAGCTTCACTGCAGAAGCAGTGCCCAGCTTCCCTTTGGGCCGTCCGACTGCCCTGTTCTGAAAGAGCCAGACACACAAGGTTAATTGCACATCCCACTTACCACTGAAACTACAGAACTTCCTTGGACAGGAGTTGTATACATCTTAGATGTAAAACTGACATATGTATCAGAATTATACACAGATGGGTAACACTCAGCAGATGCATGTGATCACTCTTATAGCTAAAGGATTTCCATTACCTTTTGAAGAAAAAAAAAAAGATGCGTTGTAAAAAGACAAAGAAACCAAGGCATAAATGAGAGATCCCAAACCTACTGCAGGCCTACTGCAACAGGAGGGCATGGAGAACCAATTTATGCACAGCTCAATGCAGGACCAAGTCAAGTCCCAAGTGATGTGCTTGGCTTAGGTCAAGATATGATCTGCACCATTGCTGAGCTCTGGGCTAGGGAGCTCCTAGGACTATGCTCAGGTTAAGCCAGGTCTACTTTCCTCCACTGGAAGCGGAAGAATCCAGGGAGGCAGCAAAAGTAATTTTGAGGTTAGGTACAGCACAGGAACATTCAGCAGCAATGGCTCAAGTGACTGCAATCTCCCTAAAACCAGGAGTATGAACAACTGCCAAGTGATAAAGTAGGAAATAAAACACAAATACTGCAAAACCCTTCCAAAGTAGCTCCCCTCATATCCAATACTAGCAAGTGCTCAAAAATAGAACACTAAGTGATGCTGTGCAAAGGCTAAAAAGGGCATCCGAGGTCTAGATTTCAATGACCTTTAAGACACAAGCTAAAGGAGCATGAGAAGATTTTAAATGATTAGGTTAGCTGCCACATATTCATATCTACATGGATATCTACATTTCATGTTCTCATCAGAAACTCCCTGTTATACACAAGAACTTACAGCTCAAGTCAAACATCGCTAAATACCATGTAATTGTATGGGGCTAATTATGCAAGAATTGGCTTGGCTCATTCTTACCACTGACAGCTTTCTCCATAAAGATAATAATAATGGGACTGCAAAGCTCATCTGGTTTAGCATTTATACAATTTTTCCACTTTCTGCACCTCTCAGCATATGACCAACAAACCAGCCAGTTTCACTTTCTGTTCCTG